CATTCTCCTCGGCCGTCGCTTCTGGCGATTACCATGTTGCCATCGAACCCGCGGTCCAAGAGCTCCGGTCGACCGTCGACGCCACCCATTCCTCCTCATCCCTCGATCGTCCAGCGACGCATGGAGCTTCTCACGTCGGATATGCTGACTCGGGCGCTGACTCTGGTCTCACGCGGACAAGGTGACCGGGCCCAACACCTCTTGATGGAGACACGCAGTATCCTCAAGGGCTTAGGTAAGGGAGGCCTTCCCCCGCTGCCGCCCGGTGCTGCGAAACCCTCTGGTAGTAGCGAGGCTGGTAGCCGGGGAGAAACCCCCACTTCGAGCTCGCCCAAGTCCTCGAACTTCGGTGACAGTCACTCCTCCGCGCCTTCGGAGACACCGACCATCTCCCCCGGAGCTGCCGTCGACTCTCAAACCATCATGGCCCTGGATGCGGACCTGGCATCTGCCCTGGAATGGATCAACCACCCTGCCGTATTCTCGCGGGACTCCCGCAAGGCCGTGCTGCAGGGCATTGGAGTCATTTCCTCGCAGCGAGCATATACCTTCCGCTCCCCGTCCGAAGCCCACTGGGCGCAGCGGGTGGCCGGCGTTCGTCGGCTCACCGAGCGGTCCAAAGAATGGCGTGAGGCGGGTGATGATGCATTGACTGAAGAATAGACGCACTCATGACCTTTCTTCTATTCTCCGTTCCTTTGTTTTTATTTACTTTCTTCTCTTCCCTTCCTTTTGATTCATTTCTTCCATCGTGTCACCGGTTCAGTGGCTAAGCCTTTTCTTTTCTGTTTCGATGATACCACTTTGTTTCACCATGACTGTGCAGCATGATACCACGGGTTTGGTTTTTTATTTTTATTTTATCTTTTTTTCCCTATACATTTTTTTTTTTATCTCTCTCTAGCCCAGATATTCCATGGGACGTGTATATATCAGGGTTTTTTCCTATTAATCTCTTGGGTTGTGGGCTAAAGGTTTTGGTTGGATTTTTATGTATGACTTATGTTGAATTTTTGGTTTTCGGCTTGGTTGTGTTGAGATGGATATAGTCACGATGGTTTCTTTTGGCCTCATTTTATTCTCGATATATATCCGTCTCTCTACTAGCAAATTTGCATATCTCATCTATTGCATTATTTTTGATCTGCTCCATGTGCAGGAAGGCATGTTACTTCATTGACTCGGTGTTGCTCAGTAGATTGACGTCCTTTCCCCTTTCGTACTCGTAAATCTCAAGCATCGCCTTATACCTCACCGTAGAAGTCCGAGTATATCCTTCATCCTCCCTCATACATCTGATTTACAAGTAGTCCCTCAAGCTACACCCTGTCTACCGTCTTTCACCCCACTCTTCTTATCTCTTCGTAATCACCATCAACACCCACCCCAGCCCTCGGTGCTGATTGCTGCTATCCTGCCCACGCTTGGCGACCTTGTCGTGCATGTTTAGATCTCTTTCGTTCAATGAATGAACCTGAATGATGTGGACTTTTTTTGTTTCTTACCGGCATACACAGTTTTCCTTACCATATATCGAGCGAATTTCCAAGGAGATTAATAAATTCCCCGTGTTGTCAAAGTTAATTCAACTCGAGTCTCTTCCTCTGACTAGGTACGCATTATAGGAGCAAGTCAGCATGAGATACCCGCGCGTTATCAACATGCTAATAAGGCAGATTGGACGCATTTGAGTGACGCAAAGGAGACGATGAGGTGAACGAAAGAAGTGAAGACTTGAGGATATGGATTTGGTCAAGAGTGGAAGGTCGATAGCAGCCCCGCGGGCTCATGGTAGATACCAGGAGGTGGGTAAGTAGCCAGACAATGGTCCATGTGAAGTGACTACGATCGACAGCGCCTACTGCTATGAGACACACTACCGAATGAAGGCTTGAAAGCCAATGCATGATATCACCGGTGTATAGGGGAATCAAGACGGCACCGGCGCTGATTGAATGAGTATAGATTGGGTATAGACAGTAGGCGCGGAGCATACCTAGGTGAGGGGACACGAGCTAGGAGTACGTAGTCACACCAGGCATACAAGGAACCACGGTGACTCCAAGCGCCCATGTGAAGATAGATTAGATCACACCTGAGGTCTTATTTTAGAAACCAGGCCAGGGAAGCGAAGGGATCGTGGAGAAAGAGTATAGACTACTGTGGGAGGCAGGAGATCGCTGGGTAAAGGCGTGACGGTATAATACGGTACTGTACAGAACATGTACCAGGAGGGGATGGAAGGGGATGATTGGATGTTTCTGACAGTTAAGATAGGGATCTATGAATGGCGAGGACAATTACAAGGAGGGGAAGCGCTGAGGAGGGGAGCAGAGATGGGCGGGGATTCTAAAATTAACATGGTGGAGGATAGTATGTGGACGAGAAAGGGCGGCCAGGGACACACGGAGGTATGACGATGGAGGGAAGAGAGAGATTGCGTCCCAGTTCCTCCGCGCAACAATCCAATGAAAGGTCCACGAAGGCACCAAGAAGCTGGCGCCATCTGCCTACTAATGCAGGAGCGTTCATGATAAGAATAGAAAGTAGAAACTTGAGAGGATATCAGTGGTGTTTGGGCCTACGGTCATTTCCGCTTTAGGTCCGTTTCCGTGGACGACCACCACGGTCTATCTATGGACCCTGAACATGCAGAAGCAATTTCGATCCAGCCAGTAAGAGGTATTCTTTTAAACTGGACCTGCGTGACGCTTCCAATGCATCTAGTGGGTGCCGCGATCGCATGTCGTTCCATGGTCATCATGATGTTGGACTGGTTGCTTGGGGTATCTGGCCGTTCAGTACCATGGGTTAAGGGGGGGATCGGTTCGATTGATGATGCCGTGTCTATTCGCGAAGCCTTTCCAATACGATTAAATTATTCAAGGGCTAATTGCTCCCAAACGGTCCGGAATATATAGATTGGAATTGACCATCTTCCCCAGCAAAAGAAGAGGTGAGGTTGATGGTCCAAAAATAGACGAGATCTGCAACCGCGGTGAGCTATAATTAGACCGACCCCGGTCCTCCTACGTGCCCCCGACCACCAAAAAACCACATCCATTGGCTAGATGAGTGTTTGGTGATCGAATGCCTGTTGAAACTAAAATCTCGTCACTTTCTACATGGATGAATCATTTCCCATCATTGGTGGTTCATTGAGATCACCCGCTTCGGCGGCTCTACCCTCTTCCTGAGTTGCTGGAGGCCGCCGCCGTATAGAGGATGTTTCTGTTTATAGATTGAGGAGGTGGTTTGGACTCATTCTTTGACTGTGCTCGAAGCGCTGGGGTTGATTATTGATGCATGTCGAACTCATGCGAGTCAACTTTTCGTTGTGTTCTTTTGACAGGTGGTGATTGTAGCACGGGGTGGCGGGAAGGCGGGGTGTTCCGTAGTGGTCTACGGAGTAGATAGTAGATACTCGGTAGTGAATTAGATGTACGATTATGTGAGTACGGACGGGGATCATTGGCTGGAAAGCATCTTCTGGAGTCTGTGTTCTCTCCTGGACACACCGGTAGTCAACTACCGCCATGGTCCGCAGTAACGGGCGCCAAGTCGCAACTGCTGGCTTGATAGACCCGGCGCTTAACGTACATCCTAGACGGAGGTGGCTTATCACCAACACGGAACTAAGAAGGGTGGCAATTGTATGGAATGCTCCTGGCAAATTGGGTCTATTAGACACGACTGGTTGTAAATGGTCCGTTTGGATTCCGTCAGCCTGAACGCTCCCCTTATGCGCCCGAGTTGGACAAATGTTGGACACCAATTCCCACGACGTGAGATGACCACGGCGGATACCAGATCTTCCATTCCAACCGCGCGTCAGAACACCAGGGTCGCCTCCCCGCAAAGCGCCTAACCCTCGCGGTAATGCATAGAGAACCCTATAGCTGAAACCTCGTCCCCTCGACAAACTGGGTATATGCCGCCCGATTGGACATTAACGGACCCTTCTGGCGTCACCTGTAACGGGGGATCCTGGCAAATCTTCTTCAAACTAAACCTTCTAGGTGCTTGGTGCTGCAGGAACGTGTTTGGCATCGCCTCCCACGGCTCAGACTTGACACGGGGAGTCCGTGGTTAGCTGTAGAGCCGCGCGCTTTGCTCTCCGACGAACCACGCATAAGGAAAGCGTCGAATTGTCGAAGAAACCGCAGACCTCAGGCAGTCTTTGCAGGAAAAAAAGGGGGTTTGAACCATTTGAGACTTGCTTCAGATGGCGCGCGACAACAATTGCAATGTTGTGTTGTCGTGCTGATGAAAGGAAAAGGCTGGCAAAGCCAACATATATATTGCGGTCAAAGCCAGGAGAAAACGATCTTTCATCTCACAATCGTTCTTCATTCTTCCTCATAGACTCTGTTTCTAGCTCATCTCCACTTCTTTTCTGTCGTTCTTCATAGACCTGAGGCATCAGCTGGACTGATTTACCGCGACTTGACTTGCCGCGGATTGACTTCGGAAGCGAACATCCGCATCACCATCATTTGACTCAGCTCGAGCTGAGAACACCCACGCATTGAGCGGACCCCTCCAAAGGCAAAAATTTAATCCTAGTGACAGTGATATCTCTATCACGGCACTTACTGGTGAGTGGATCGGACGTTGCTATTTTGGACGAGCTGAACGAGCTAACCCAGAGTCGGCCAGTATTATTACCGTATTCACTGTACTGTTACCATACGATACCCGGTCCGTATACACCTCTACATCGAAGGACACCACATACCACTACCACCACCGTCGGGACTTCAGGGCTGACTTGCATTGCTTCCCAGACTCCCCTTGTCCCAAGGATCCGGCCCGTTGTTCGGTACCACTTGGCTAGATAAATTAGCCACCACATCCTCCCTCGTTGCTGCATATCTCCCGAGCTGGACCCCAAGCTGAAGGCATCTTCCAGCCCTGAGATCGACTCTCTTTTTATCCTATCTATTTTTAAACCAACCTTGCTGGATTTCTTGGATATATAATCCTAATTACTCCTCACCATGGTTCCCAAAAGACCATCCCTCCACCCATTGACTACTCCCAAGACCATGACATTCCCTTCCGAGCTTCGAGAACGCACCTACACCACCAACCTCGACCCCAACGAGGGATGCAAGAAGGAAGACGAAGATGTCGAGTTCTCCATGACCCCTCCACCGGCCTACACGGAGTTCCTGAACACCTTCAGTCCCATCTTCGGCAGCCCAGATACCTCCCGGGCCAACTTCTCCAAGTACATGCTGGATAAGCCTCGTTCATCACCCACCTCCACCCCGTCTAGCTCTACGGCTACGACCTTCCCCGGAAGCCATTTACCCCGGAATCTCCCTCCTGCAGCCGCTCACCCGCACGTATCGGTGTCGAACAGGACTCCTGATCATGTTCGTCGCATGCGGCTGCCTCCGCCGTATGCCTACACTCCGGCGTCAGACTCCCCGCACAGCGCGCACCCGCTCCGATCACCTTATACACCGTCTGAGATGCGGATGCATCGCTTTGACTCGCCCGTCAGTGATCATGCAGGATACTTCAGTGTCCGACACGTGGTGACTACGACGATCACGTACAAACGGGCCCCTCAGCTCGAGCCTCCCCCGCAAGGCAAGCGGAGAAGAAACAGCGACGATTAGACGAGTCTGATTGATTGACGTTCGACACGGATTTATTTGGGATTGCTTTATGGTCTTCCTGTTTTTTACTTGTTTCCCGTTGTGCTTTTGATTGTTTTTTATCTTTGGTTATCACGTCGGTCAGGCTACTTGACGGAATTCATGCATTGCCGTTGGGTACTAGTTGGTGCTCGGACTTTGTTGGACTGGACGGAGTTGGGGGTTTACGACCATGAATCTACCTATAGCAATGAGGCTAGCTATTTGAATGAGGCTCAATCATCCACGCACTTCTGATCGCAAAGAAACTAGCCATTTTACCTATCATTCCCTTCCCGAATGGTACTTCTGTTCTTTGTCTCCTTCGCCAACCAATAAACCAACCAACCAACATCACCACAAGCAGGTACGTAATATACTCGTGTGTAGGTAGTACAACTCAAGACTGATCTACTCTTGCCCATCCCACTTCAATTTCCCGCCCCCTCATCGTCGAAGATGGAGTAATACAAACCATCCCGAAGGATTCCACGTGTTACCGCCACAATCGACACGTCCAATACGAGGACCGCACTAGCGGCCATCAAATCCAACCTACCTAACAACAATCAGATTAAAGAGCCCTTCTCATTGATCAGAAAGTTCCAAGAGCCCCGCGGGTAGAGCTGCCAACGAGAAAGAAGTCCGTTCGTTCGCCCATCCAATGTCCGTTCACACACGGTCCTCTCTCTCTATTCCAACCTAGGCACTAACTAAGGTAGTAAGCAAAGTTGGTGCTCGAGCGCGCGCGCGCAAATCCCTGACCGACAAAAAGAAGGGCCATGTGTTTCATCCAGGGATAACCCCGGCGAGTAAGTCGCTGCGTTGGCGAGAATAGGTGCCTAGAAGGAAGAGACTGGCGCAGACCGTTTGCTAATTGGATGAAATCGGCGTCTAATCCAGGCCTGTCAACGCTAGTGCCCCGCTAGAAATGTTTGGATCGGGCTCCTAGTGGATCGAAAGGAGTATAGGACAGCAGATGGTGATACTCGAACTGTCTCATGTTATTATTATCTTTGCATCCTGGCGCTCTCTCCCAGCCTGACTCATTTGCAATCGGGTGTGTTGGTTTTGTTGTACCGCGCTGTCTGTCTGTATGTATAGGAGGCGGTTCCCCCACTTTTTTTTGTTCTTTTTTACCTTTGCGATTTCCGCTGTTGTAGCCGTTATGGGCTTTACTAATGGTTATGATGCTATACCAAGTCCTACAGGTTCGTATGGCGCTGGAGATTGATTTGAACGCGAGCATTGCAAATGGTATTCGATAACCGAACTAACAAACAGACTTCAAACCCAACCAAAATCACCAAATATTCAAGAAAATAAGTGAACGAGGGAATAAGAAGGTAAGAAAATCAAAAACCAGATAGCAGAGAGCCTCTGCTCATAGAAAGAAGGGAAGATTGCCAGAATCAACAAAGAAGCAGAACGCATCATAAACTAAACACCATCAAGGAGCGTGTTATGTTGGCGCAGAGATCAAAACAATATAATCAAATCAAATCACAAAAGCAGATTCAAAATCAGCAAATCGAGTCAAAATCAGAGACAGAAACAGACCCGTCAAGGGTGGAAGACACGACAACAACATCAGAGCAACAAACCTCTTCGCCAGGGCATGGGGCACGAAGGAGATATAACGGAGAAAATCAAACAAAGATATCAAAGTAAGCAGCAAACCAAATCAAGAACACGTTGAAACAGAAGCTGAAAATCAGAAAGACATGAACAAATTCCACCCAAGACTCCAGAAATCAGACCGAAACTGAAAAGCAAAACTGGCTCAGATCAATAAAGCATTAAACTGGAGAACAAAACACCACAAGAAAAAATCAAAACCGAAACAAGAAGCTCAAGAGCAGAATAAAATCAGCGGAAGATAGAATCGAAGACAAAATCAAAGCCAAACAAACTCCAACATGACAAACAAAAAAAGCAAACAAGCAAACAAGCAAACAAACAGACGAGAAAACAACAGAAAAACAAAATGACAAAAAGACAGATTGCCAACTATTGTAAGTATATCAAAAGTCCCCTTGTTGAAGATGAGATGAAAAATGCCCTGCGTTTGTTGCAATAAGTTGTTGGTTAGTGCCTCACCTGACCAGCATGTACTGTATCTTATCCCCTTCCCTCCCTTGCCCTCTTGTTGCATCCCCAATATTAATTTCCTTTCCATCCCAACAGGCCCCCTCCCTTCTCACGCCATCTCGATAGCACCCTTTTTTGCTCTCTTTCATCTTTCACAAGGTCTCCTGAACTTTTCCTGACACCAGCACAACTTCCACGCCAGGTCAATTACAGGAGAAGGAAATCCCATTTGTTGCGCTTCATAACCTCCCGCCAGTGGAGGTTCTCCCTCACAGGCTCCTGAGTCTGACGGTTTGGTGGTCGGATAGTGGCATTGCTGTCCACGGACTCCGGGGAGCCAGGAGAATCTTCCTCATCAGAGGGCTCGGTGAGGGGACCTTCAGCCAATCGCCAGATTTCTCTCAGCACGCGATACATCCGACCAAAACTGGCGAAGTCTCCTAGGTACCCCATAGCACTGATCCGATCGGTGAGGACACGGCGAAAGAGGCAGGCAGGAGTCGAGTAAGCCCCCACAATGAAGAGGGGCCAGACAATGCATCGATCATACCCGTTGAAACCGCCAGGGATATGGTTCAGAATATCCGGTACCGAGGCGACCAGGTATGTCACGGTAAAGTCGAAGCGGTCGAACTCTGGCAGGAGGCTGTGCAGATAGATGCGAACCGCAATGCGGAACAGGGCAGAGATGCTCTTCGTCAAAGGCACCGCCATGATCTCCCCATGGGGGCCGTATGGGGGTTGCAAGGACTGGTCAGTTGGCTCAGTAAAATCAACCTGACGTTTCAGAGCAGCGACATGCCCACATAAGTCCTCATCATTAATTTCACCATCCAACCGAAGAGATTCGAGACAGGCAGCCTCTGAGATGAGGTACATCACACGGTCAGCACAGCCCATCAGCCCTCGCAGTCCTGACGGCTTGCCACTCAAATGCTTGGTGCGATAAGCGTGGGCGAAGTGAGGCGTTGTTCCCTTCATGGTAGACCCAAGGATATCGATCCAGGTGATTAGGGAGATGTTAAACTGCGACGGAGACTTTTCCAGCCTCTTCACCAACGTGGCTACTCCCTCAAAGTGAGCGTGCCATGGGATATTGGGCAGATAGTCGTCAGTGTTGCTGATCTTGCAATGGAAGAAGATCATGCCGAGGGTAGCATCAATGACCTGAATCGGGTTGTGTCCCCGAGCAAGAGCCTGACAGAGCAGAGAGATCGCTTCGTACCGGTGCTGCATGATTTCATGGTCCATCTGGTCATCGAGTCCTTGACTAGTCTTCATATGGATGGCCGCCACACTGAGACAGCAGTGTAGGAAGGAGCGGTTGTACTGCATAATTTTGAAAGTCTCGTTGAGTCGGCGCTGTCCAGCATGATGGAGTCTTACTATCGGGAATCCCAGGTCGAGAAGGTTGTCTATGAAGTGGTCGAGATACGGACGGTCCTTCTCGTCCAGCGCAATGATAGAATGGAGAGGCACCGGAGACGATCCGTGGGAATGGCCAAAACTGGGGGCATCTATCGCGGGATAGAGCTGGAGCTGGCCGAAGCTGTTGCGGTTATGGTACGGATTCGTGCTGGGAAGGGTAGGGATGTTGGGGATGTTGGGGATGCTGTTTCCGAACCAGCCATCGGTGGGAAGTCGAGGAGTGGGAACTTGGACTGGCATGATAATCGGCATCTGAGTCCGCACCTGAGTTTGCAGCTGAATCGGCAACTGCGCTGCAATCTCGGCAGGTGTGGGGCTAGTCAGCTGGGAAATGCTCATCTCTGTAGATGCCTGTGTGGGCATTTGAGCAGAGAAATCGGCAGATGCCTCAGGAGCAACCTCGGTAGCCACCTGAGTGGGCATCTCGGCAGGCATCTGGGTGTCATGCATCTGAACAGGCATTTCGGTGGGCACCTGGGCAGACATCTGGGTGTCATACATCGGGACAGACATGTCGGTATGCGCCTGGGCGGGCATCTGGGTGTCATACATCGGGACAGACATGTCGGTATGCGCCTGGGCGGGCATCTGGTTGTCATACATTGGGACAGGCATATCGGCATGCATCTGGGTGGACATCTGGTTGTCATACATTGGGACAGGCATTTCGGTAGGCACCTGGGCAGACATCTGGTTGTCATACATCGGGATAGACATGTCACTATGCATCTGGGCGGACATCTGGTTGTCATGCATCGGGACATGCATATTGGCGGACATCTGGTTGGGCATATGAGGCGCCATTGGAACAGGCTCCGGGAATGGCGCCTGAGTTGACATCGGAGTTGACAGCTGCGAATGTATCTGGCTCGACATCGGACCCTGAGACGAGCTCACAGGGCTGAAAGACATGCTCGACGGCGAGCTGGCCGGAAAAGACGGCGGATATCCAGGACTGAACAACGTCTCAGAAGTGACGTTGATATTACACGGAGTGAAAGGAGGCGGTGATATTGGAGCATTCCAATTGTACTCCTCCCCCATCATCGGACGATTGGATTCCTTGTCCGACATCTTGGGAGATCTTTCAGTGAGTGCACGGATTCGAGTCATGTAATCTAAGCATGTTTAGTGGGTGCAGGGGTGGAGTCAAGGTGCGCCAACGTCACATACCCTTCAAGGATCCGTGCTTTTCCATGGCCTTGGTCTGACGGATTCTATCCTTGATGCGGTCCTTTTGACGGCGACGCTGCTCGCCAGTGGACCACCAAATTGGAGCTTTGTACTCGCATTTGATACCCAGCTTGGTGCACATCCCGCATGAAGGCCGGCTTTCATCGCATTTCTTCCGTCTAAGACGGCAGGTGAAGCAGCCTGCTTAAGGTTATGGTCAGTTATGTTCTATGCAGATGATGGACAGGCATGAAAGCGCGCTTCTCTTGAGCTGCGTTTCTCCTCCCAGCAAGAGGGGCTTTACCTGCGAGAGACCTGCGATAAGACCTGATATGTCTCTCATTGTGATGAACCGGAGGCTCACCCAATGGAGCGATAGGTACCTTGCCAGGGCAGCTTGGTCCAGCGACGGCGGCGCCGTTGGGAGTAGAAGAGGAAGAAACGTTATCAGCCGACATGGTGTTTGGGACTTGAAACTTTCGACGAAAACCTTGGGGGGAGACGTCGAAAGGGAAGCACAAAGACGACGAGATAGACAACGACGGGAAGGTATGAAAAGTTATAAGAAAGATACTGAAGCAAACAGAACCGAAATTGGAACAACAATATGAAGAGTGAGAAGGCTGGCGGGAGTCAGGGACCTCTGCTGTTGAGTGAAGCAAAGATGAGACTGGAAAAGAAAGAAACGAAGGACGGCGAGGATGGAGGTCCTTTATGAATCAATTGCGGCGCGGTATCATGAGATATGATGGTTGCGAAGATTGATCCTAAAATGAGGACCAAGAACCCCGTGCTTCTATTTTTTCCAACTCAGGGATTGGCGAGACGAGGATATCGTTTCAAGGCTTTCCCGACGATGCGAACCCTGAGTGGAGCCTGAAGCCAAGCAGCAAATCAATGTCGGCATTAGGATCGATGATAGAGCCAGGAGTCTAAATTGGGAGGATAGATGGAGGAAAGATGGAGGAAAGATGGTGGTGGACAGCATGGTTCCTGGGATTGTGGTGTTGATCACCCATGCCGTCATGTCGCCTGCGCCATTAGACGCGGACTAAAACTGATGGCTGCAGGGATCACTTTGGGCGGATGGCTAACGTTAGGGTGCTGCCAGGGCCTTGAGAATGATCATTCTAGCGCACCGGTCGAGGGTGACGGTCTTGGACGCTGATTGGCAATTTCATCCCAATCATCTGGAATTTCGTCCCTGAATGATGAGCTCGGCGCTTTGTGAAAACCGACCCCTCAACCTCGACGTTCCCGCACGATTCGCATATCATTGTAAAGTTCGCAATAGGAGGAAGCTGCCCCTTTTTCCCGTGTATTTTTCCCAATTTTCCCTGGATTTTGAGGGGGAGGTACACCCCCCAAGCTCTATACAAACACCCTCTCGAATTAGTCGCCGTGGGAGATAAACCGCAACGACCCGCGTGGACAGCGCCAATCAGTGGACGGGGAAGCGGCGACGGTGGAGCTCGGCCCGTGCAGAAGCGGGGCGGATCGGGAACGCTTGGACGTGATAACTCGGCATGAGCCAGCCCTAATTAGCAACTTTTAGCCACCATTACTGCGGCTTGGGGTAATTATCGACATCCCCCCGGTCAGTCCATTGGCCCGGCGCCAATATAGCGGTGTTTAAATTTAGCTAAATGCCTCTAACCACCACGAGTATCTAAGAATAACTCCCAGAAGTTGTCATAATTAGCAACCCATCTAGTACCCTATGCGGGGTATACACAATGCTCGGACTTGCAGGTTGCCTGCAGGTTACTGCTGCTGCTGCATTTGGATCGTTCACGGTCACCAATGATCAAGCGCGGAGGGGTCACTTCGGGAAAGGGTTTTGAGGAACAGACCGCCGTCTCCCTGCCCGGATCCAACTACCGCAGCTACGGTAAGAATCTTCTATCGTCCGTTCCATTGGCACCTGGGATGCAGCCTATCACCAACGTCGCTAACAAGATCTAATCGTCGACTTGCTGGAATTCTAAATTAAGCTCTTTCTTGCACTTTCTTCCGCACCCAAACCATAACCGCTGCGTAGATTGAAAGCGCTTCTTTTAATAGAATATCTCGAACAATCTTGACTCCGCGTTTCTATCGTGAAACAGAAGCCACATGTTAGCCCGCGTTCTGAAGCACAAGTGACAATGTGATTCTAATTTTGCATCCCAAAACTTGATGTTGCGAACGTGGAATTGCGCCGCATGGGAAGCGCTCGGGATAGAGTGATATCTCTAGTTTATTCTTAGACCACCTATTGCTGGGAGTCTTGACTGTTGGCCTTGCTACGCCGTTCTAGAATTTGACATTATCATGAAACGCGTCGTGCTAAAAAAAGGAATTCTCCGAGTTATCCGTAGATGGAGATTCCAACAAGGCGTAGGAGATGGTTCGAACTATACCCTCCTACTGTGTCCTGGAGAGTTGGGAACTAACACTCCTCGCCCCGGGTCAAACGAACCGGTACCTGCGAGGAGCGTTTACTGCCCATATCGACTGGAGTACCGCAATGTGATTGTTACAATCGAATCACATTTACCCCGCTCCCCATCACCTGATGGTCTGTCTCCCTTGTGCTAATAGCAATTTGTTCTCTGCTTCTCCTCATAATTTGGGTCACTTAATTTAATTTCATCTCGCACCAGCCTATGTAATTAGCCCATTATTTGCTTTCTCTTCTTTGTTAATCCAAATCCACCACGTTCGTCTGATTGATAAGGTTTCCCACCCGCCTTAGATTCTACGGTCACAGCTAGAAGCCTACTTTATTTAGCTGCTCGTGGGGGTCGGAACTTTACAGCAGTTCATTCCTGATCTCTAATCATAAGTTCGCTGTCCGAACGATTGACCGGTCGTGCCGTGGTTGCCGTCCCAACTACAATAATTTCCGCACGCCGGGAGCTTACGCCATTGGAGTCCACTACGAGTGAGGGGGAATATGCACATGGCTGCAATGCAGTTGGTTCACATATCACATTACAGTAGTCTAGAAGTTGAGTGATGCTACAGCCAACGAACCGCCATACCAAGAGCACCTAACCCGTAGCCACCGTGGTAGCTCCCACCGGACAAGACTAAGACCAAAGACCGAAAGGAACGGTGAGGAAGCTGTACCACAGGATGAGATGAAGGTGATGACATGCAGCCAGCGACAAACAGCGAAATGGTAGCCGAGCAACGTGAGCTGGAGGCAGGGGAAAACAGGATGGATGACCAGGCCGGCGCGTGTCTTATGGGATTGAGCAGAGGGAGAGGTAGAAATAGGAGGAAATGGGCGCGAAAGAAATGACTCAATAGGAGCGCCGAAAGGATCCAACTCGAGAACGGCGGATGGCTTTCGCTATATAGGCTCCGTCTGGATAACTGCTCCGTCTCGGGTGGTTACGAATCGAGTCGGTTGGTCCACAGTTCTTCGCACGGTGCCGCCCAACAACTCGCGAATCAACGAATGGCATGTGCTGCCTGGAGGGGACAGAGGACGTCCAGCCACCAATAGAACGATTGGACTGTCGGTTCGGATGGGAGAAAGGAAGAAGATGGGCGGCTAGAGAGGAGATGCGATTTGAGGAAGTACAGAAGAGAAGGGCGATCTGCGGGCGCTAAAAATGGGCGTGGCCAGTCACGGGCGGCGCGAGCATGAGGATCCCCGCAAGCCCGGCGCGTAACGGCCTCGTCCTTTTGCTCTCTCTGCACGCTCTGCACCTGTCACGGCGCTCGGTGCGTCCGCTTGCTGAGGCATCTCGCCCTCGGCGCCAATTCATTGGATGAGATACACTTTTCGTCTCTGCATTGGGCTCCAGACTACTGCCAGGTCGTCACTCGACATCACCCTCTCAGGACGGTCACCTCATCCTGCCCAGCCATCGGGCTTGAAGACAATGCCACTACGTTTCACCATCCCTGCCGAACCGGGGCTATGTTTCTCTATCTTGCGAGCTTTGATTCGACCTGCCCGTCATCCTGCTGTCGGCACCGTGTTTCACACCCTCCCCCCCCCGCCACTTTTGTCGGTCAGACTTGTCACAAACCTGCCGCTTGACGATACTTATACTACGACCGGCCCAAGGTCCCCGTGTTTCCCTACTTCTTGTTGCACCTTTCTGCCACCTCCATAATAGGGCTGCATGGCCACCCTTTTTGCTTTTGTTCCTGTCTTTTCTTTCCTGTTCTGCTACCAGGAGCAACGTCGTGATTGAGATAGAAGCACTACTTGCTTCTCCATCTCTCTAATTACCAATTATAATCCCAAATAATTACCCCGTTTTGAGATCCAGAAAGCCGGAGCCTCCCACAGCCACCATGGTAAGTAAAATGCCCGCAAACTATAACACCGTCCATAGTTCCAGGGCTGACCTTATTGTCTCTCAATAGGAGTCACTACGTGGCCGACGCAAGGCACCGCCTGCTTCGCTGAACATGAAGCATACCGCCAAATTCAACCCGGCCTGGACGGTAGTACAGAACCGTCAATCCAGCACGACCGACTTTGACGACACCGACTTCGAGTTTAGTGATTCGGATACTGAATCCCCTCGGATGAGCATGGGTTCGGTAAGCTACTCTTTCCCTCTCTCGCTGCAGATCGATAAATTAACAAGAATCCGCAGTTTGGCTATGACAGCAACTCTTCTCTTTCCACCCCCGACTTGCCGCCCACCCCGGACCACGCTCCCAAAGCACCATTCAGTTTCAGGCCAGACGGCAAAATCAAAGGACCGTCTGGGCCTCATCTCTTCAGGTCTTCAATTGGCTCTGCCGGCTCAGTGCCATCAACCGAAATCGACCTCTACTTCGAGAGATCACCCCTGGCCTCTCAATTCCAGAAATCCGACAGCGAGACCCCAAGCCCGCGATTTCAATTCATCCAGTCTAACAACGGGACCCCAAGCTCGCGATCTCAATTCACCCAGTCCGACGGCGAACCACCCCTAACTTCGCGATCTTATCTCATCCAGTCTGACAGCGAGACCCCAAGCTACAGGTCTCAGTACTTCTACTCGGCTAGTCAGACTCCAAGTTCTCGATCTCAATTTTTCCAATCCCAAAGCGAAGCCCTGAGCATCGGATCTGAATCCATTCGGACTTATGCTCAGACCCCAGGCTCCGCCCGGACTCAGTTCTCTCGTTCGGGGACCCAAATGCCGAGTACGAGATCCCAATTTGCTGGGCCCGAAACTGGAACCAACAACAGCTCTCGATACCAGTTCTCACCACCCACTCCCAGAGCTTACTCGACTGTGTACCCTGATGTTTCCCAGGTGGAGGAGAGTGAAATCCGAGGCTGGGTGCCAAGTCAGGTAGCCCACTGGATGCACATCGCTGGCTATGACGAGTACGTTATTGATCAATTCTTGATCAACGACATCACCGGTACCGTTTTGCTCAACCTGCAAATTGATGACCTCAAGGAGCTGGGGATCAAATCCTTTGGCAAGCGCCATCAACTGATGGCTTCGATTGATCATCTGCGCAACACCATGATGAAAACCCCAGTTACCGATGAGCAGCTCGAGGAAAAGAGACGCTCGTACGCCATGTCGGTCTCCCCAACGGGTGAAGTCCTCACCAAATACGACGGCACTCAGATCACTCCCGCCGAGGCTGTGTCGATCGTGGGTATCGAGCAGGTGCTTCCCAAGCCTCACAGCTGCTCCAAGGGCGAAAATTGCCCCAAGTTCAGAAGACGTCAACGTCAGCTGGAGAGACTTGCGGCCGAGTTTCCCGGCGCCAACCTCCTAAATGGGACCTCCATCTTCATTGGAAACCCTGGAAACCCCGAGACCGCAAAGAACATGCTACGGCCCAAGTCGGACGCTGAGCCCTCCATCGTCGCGTCGTCGGATATTTTTGGTCCGGCCCAGACCACACCGCAACTGAGTGAGGATGTACTCAATGAGGTGTCGAAGGTGGACCCGCAAGAAAGCGTGCGACATTTCCTGAGCTACCAGCGTGTTGACCCTGCTAGTCCGTTTGACTACGACTCAGACCCCTGCTCACCACCCTTACCCGAATCGGATCCGGTGACTACTCTGTCTCCCCCAACCAAGTTCACGGAGCACATGGCTGCAAACCTCCGCAGCCTTCCAAAATTGAGGATTCCCACCGAATCGGATGAGGAGGAGGAGGAGGAGGATGATGAGCTGACCACTGCCACTATCACCACGGCTAACGGCTCACCGACTGCCACCCAAGCATATGGCCCCTTTACCTCCTCCCGGCCCATGCCTGACACCTATCGCCTGGGTACCCCCTTTTCAGAGATGGATGTGCCCGTCACTGCGATTCCTCATGACCCGATTGCCCGCGATACGTCCCAGTCGGTTCCCCCTGACATGCAATACGGCAATCTTATGCATCCGAGATATCAGGAGGCTATTTCTCGCGGCACACCTACCCGGCCCCGAGCCAATTCAGCGCTTCGCCCCGTCAACGAGGGTCGACCTTTGACCCCAATCGACGACCCCGCGGATCTGAAGAAGAGAAGCCCCCGTATCGGCTTTAACAAAGGTAGCTCGACCAACTCGTCGATTGCTGCCGACCCTGAAGTTACTCGTTGCGGCTGGATGAAGAAGCGCAAGCAGGCACGCTTCCTTCGCCATGAATGGCAGGATGCTCACTTCACCTTGCGTGGAACCAACCTTGCTATGCACAAGGATGAGCTTGCCGCTCTTCGCTATTCGAAGGTTTTGGAGACGATCGACGTCGACAACTACGCCGTTGCCTGCTCGTCGCTTGCCACAAGCTCCAAGCTGAGCGCTGCATTCAAGAAGTCCATTCTCCGAAATGGCCACAACCTGAGCCAGGATGATGCAGCCTTCGCCTTCTCGCTCATTCCCGCTAACAAGGAACACGAGAAGAAGATGCTGTTCGGAAACAGCAACATCAAGACCCACCACTTTGCCGTCAAGACCCGCGACGAACGCATCGATTGGATGCGCGAGTTGATGCTCTCCAAGGCCCTCCGCAAGGGCAAGGAGGGTGGTGCCGAGATGCAAGTCAACGGCAACTTTATCTAATTCTGACCACAATTTCGTTTATACCCCCATATATCTTTTTCTTGTCTCGGGTTGAACTCAAAAGATCCATCAAATTGTCTTTTCCGATGCTGTGTACTCTAGTCCATGAAACGAATCTTCTTTGTCATTCCTTTTCCCATTTTGTGGTCTACTACTGCATTTCTACAGGATCGGGTTTTCCTTTTTGTCTGGGATTGCATATGGATATTTGGTATTTCCTTTGTCACGATCAAACGAACAAGACGCATTGTCGCCGGACGACTTTGTGAGATACCCCAAGTACCTCTCTATTTGTCATTTGGTTTTTTTGATGGGCTTGCTTTATTTCTACTCATACTATCAGACGGACTAAATAATGCATCGGTGTACTGGTGAGAATAGCTGTACAGAAAATTGAATAATCCCCTTCTGGGCGCAGGAGACCTCCCTTGTAGCGAAACCCCATACACAGTTCTCGCCCGCAACCGCCAGAATCTTACAAATACAAGATCCACATCCAAGTAGTTTTTGGCTACTAAGAATATTTCCCTTTGGGATTCGCTGGAACCCCGCTCTGGCGACGCTCCCAAGACTTGTGCTGATTCGAGCAATCTTTGGCGCCTTCGCGAGGAATACGACGTGGGGATGGCCTGATGCCCGCATTCTCCGCTGGAAGTTTTGTCAAAATAATTGATTTCTTAAGTCCAATTCTTTCATTAACTTTCTTTTCTTGTTTCTTGGTATCCCTTGGCGTAGGACCCAGATTCAGCTTGGTACTTTGGACCTAAGAGAGTGAAAAGGGGTCTTGTCTTTGGGAATGACCAGGTCACTAGGCATACTTCAGGATAGTGATGATCAAGAAGCATCCGACGTGGGAAAGTGAATTCAAATGTTCATCAGAATACCCACAAGCCCCTACATGAAAAATTTATCAGATGGAGGCAAGACACCCTTAGACCTAGCTCGGAAGCATCCTAGCAGCCCGCTCTGGTTTGATGATACCGGAAACCTACACATCTCTTTCAAAGATCATCAGCTAGGAACCCCAACGAAACCGATAGAGATAGAGACCGACTCAGAAACTGACTATGAGACCAGTGGGTCCACACTGGTCGAGGAAGAAGATTCACAGTGGGGATCAGTGGTATCAAGCCACGTTGTTTCGGTCGTGGATTAACTAAGTTTCTCCATTCAATTGGATCGAAGTACATTCCCTATACTCTCACCATTTAACGTGAAAAAGTTACATTATCGGTATTTCCTGATCTTTTTTGCTGAGGGTCATTGGCATTATTCTATGATACACCAACAGCGTTTCTTTCTCTTTGTGTCCTTTTGGCTTATGATCACAGTTTACTTTCCTTTGTTTTACTTTTTTCCCCTACGTATATAAGGAATTCCAAGAGAATTGATATGGGAATATAACATACAGAAAGGTAAGCTTCATTCAATAATCTTTGCCAACCTATTTCTTGGATCACAAGATTCAATTTCAGAAGGGTGAATAAACCTACCATTCCCTTAAGTTTCGTAGTGACTGATGATAATCGTAAGAATGTGAATATCTACCAGGTGAAGGGCTTCTACATTCCCCAGTATCTTGAGAAGTATTTAATTGGCCCCAGCCCAGCCCATCCTCCTCTTCTCTTTTCTCCCCAACATCTTCCTGCACAATATACAAGCACTGAAGCTCATCGATTAAGATCGTATATTCCGCTCTATTCTATGCCTATAGTCAATTGGCATCTTTGCCTCTTGCTGGGGTCTCAATTATCAGATCATTATGCCTAGACATTCCAATTCCCGAACGTGTCTATACAGACTACGGCTCTAGGTGGACTTATAATCCACGGCATCTCTGAACTTGCACATTCTGATCGATCTCTTGTTCTCTGCCAGAGGAAAAAGCAATCACCACTTGAAAGTCTTGCTTGACGAGCGTTGTGCTGCACATATCATCAGTGGAGGATATATCGTGAATATCATGAATAAAATATATTCGAACAGATAAAAGCACTTTGTACAGCGATAAATTGTTGTTCTCTGGTGATATTGACATTGCTGCTTATCTCTGCGACATGTTTGATCTTTCGAAGTCAGAGCTCGGAGATGTGTATGCGACCATCAAAAACCCCAAGTTTGTCTACGAGGCCAACAATGAAGGCTACAATAACCTCATGGTCATCGAAGCATTCCAATTACTCAGTAAGGGACGACAAGCTGAGCTATTTACCAAGAAAAATTTCCAAGAGTGGCTTCAACAGAAAATTGGAACGACCATCGGAAATACTGCACGCATCCAAGCAATCATCCGACAAGAAGAGTATCTCAGCAAGTTTCTTAGATATTGCAGTCATTGTGCATGCTACTCTATAATAGGAAATTGGCGATAACCATGAGATCCAACGACTATTGGTAGATGCTATTCCAACCTCAACAGAAAAATGGGGACATTTGTGTCATCTGCTTTACAGCGATGGCGCTGTCGATGATCCCAGGTCCCTAGATCTGCCCGTCTCAGTCCTACAACAATTTAATTTCTTTTCACGGGGAGTACGGGCGTGTCATTCCCCCCAGCATTGGAAGACCGAAGATTCCCACAGCTATTCCACAGGAAGATTGAAATTTATCTCCTTAACCAGAGAAAAAAAAAGACTCTGAAATTACAACTATGACTGGGCGAGGAACATGCAAATTCCATGTCTTTTATATCAAGACTACCGCTGAAACAACCGCGTATTATGAAAACAAAAAGACAGAGATCACCGATAAAGAGACAGGTGTGCCCAAAAGAAGCAAGTGGTAAGTTTTAAAAAATATTATTAATTTTTTTTTGAAAAAAAAAATTTATGTGACGTCCTGAGCGTGTAGCAACGCCCTACACTGGAGTGGCTGCATAGTTTGCACTGTTTGATTCGTTTGTCCCACACAGTGGGTGCTTCATGCAGTAAATCGCTGTTTTCTTCTTCTCCTCTCCTCAACCTAGTGTCTTGTAACTAACCTACAATAAAGATCGTATCTTCATTCTTGAGGTTGTCACATTACACTAGGTTCAAACAAATCATTCTTTTTACCTTTCTTTTCGAGTTGTTAGTCGATACGGACACCCCAACCCGTTGGACCGTCTTCGACTAAAGACCGACCCACCACGCGCGCAGAGGCGAATTAACGGCTACATCGACCAAAACGAAAATGACCGGATACGATTAAGATCAGCCATAGCGCGCCCAGGCCGAAAGGAATTTAACCCCTACCGCCGCATGATCGCTCTGCTGAGTGGGGACGAGTTCTTAGCTGTTGGCCGTCTCTCTAGGCGTAGGAATATCGAATGATGAAGGTCTAATTCTTTCAATCTAGTTGCAAGCGGTGGTTTAAATACATGAAGAATAATAAGCAATCTAGCCTAAAAAGGTAGTTAGAAGAGACATAACTTTTGAACTATGGAAATAATAGAAAACTCTGTATAATCCTCGGGGATCGGTAGTTACCAATACCGATATCCGGAATAGGAAGGTCTCCTATGTGACTAGCGGTCACATACGGTTGACATTAGCATACTGCAAGGACGACCCGAACCGATTATACCAGATGGTAGAGAGTCTCTCTGTTAAAGCATTAGAGAAAAATAGATGACTCGAAACTTTGGCTGGCGAGCAGGAGTTTACCTACTTCTTAAGAATGGGAAGCGAAGGCCGCCTCGCTCAAGGAAGAAGCGATCCAAAAAAACCAGGAGTTGCAGGAGAGAGATACCGAGATCAACCTCCTAACGACTAAAATGACGGAGCTGCGAGCTCGCGTCAGGACTCTAACTGAAGAATCTACCCCAGCGAGATCGATTAAGTTTCCTGACCCCCCTTGTTTGTCGGATAGAAAGGAACCATGCTTTAATGACTGGATCATCTTGATGAACGCGAAGCTGAAGGTAAACCAGGACCACTACAGCACCCCTGATTTCCGCATGACCTATGTCCAGAGTCGTACCGAAGGAAAGGCCCTGCAGTATCTGGTATCCAGGCAGCAGGCCAAGAGCGAGAGATAAAATAACGAGAAAGAGATGTTGGAATACCTAAAGAGTATTTACTATGACCCTAACAGGACTATTATTGTAAAGAACAAGTTCAGGAACTTACAGATAAAAAAAATATGACAAATTCCATGAGTTCTTGTCTGACTTCCTCTATCTTGCCTCTAAAGCCGGAATACACAATAAAGATATGAAGGAGAAACTCTACCAAAAACTCCGGTGCAAATTACAAGAGATAACTGTTACTGAAAGTACAAAGGATACTTACACTTTCAGCAAGTTCTCCGAGTATTGCTCAATAATGGCTAACAGCCTAGAAATCATAAACTACGAAGCGGCTGGGAACCGTTTCAAACTAAGAACCCCTTACCCATCTGCAGCGGTAAAGGAAAACCCAAAATTATCTAAGGCCCAGACTCCGAACCCTGACGACAGGACTCCTATATCCCGCCGTACCGTGGATCCCGACACCCGAGCCAGACTGATGAGTAAGGCAAATGCTTCAGTTGCTTTAAGCACGGATATCGATCGGCTGAATGCCCTGAGAGAGCCTCAACTCACTTGAAGACCTTAGAACCACAGAAGAAAGTGCAGGAGCTAGAGACTCCGAACTATCAGGGAAAAGAAGATGCCTAGAAGAAGTCTTCATTCTAGGTAAAGTTTATATCGAGAAACAGACTGAGTTTGACTTTCGGACACTGCTTAGAAAACCAAATAATGGATTTACAGTTCAAACTCAGGTAGCAAATAATGGAATGTCATTTGTTATAAAAATTTTGATCGATACTAGAATAAATGGGGTTTTGTTTCATAAACGTCCCCACCGCAATCCTCCTGGCTGTGACGAACGGCTACGCTGGCGATAAGAAATCGCTTCAATGTAGGATATGCATTCAACGAAGAAACTAAGCTAGTCCCGATCGGGTAGTTAGGTCATAGGGTATCGCGAAGGAACGTCTTCGGAGGCTGGTCACAGTCCGTGACACTGGCGAAGCAA